CACCATGTCCCAGCTGTCACTCCCATCTGCCACAGTTAATTGGGACTGCAGAGAAGCTGCCCTGGCGCCGAACCGTCCTCCGCACCAGCTCCGAGCAGCGTCGGGCACGAGGGGCCATTGAGCGGCCTCGGCGGCGGCAGGAGCCAGCCAAGGAGGGCAGAGCGGGGCTGCTGCTCCCCTTGTAAATGGTAGAACATTAGGCCTTGCCTGGGCTGAGTCTCCAGCCCCTTTCTGTCTCTAGTATTTAATTTTAACTGCCACGATGTCAGGCTGATCCAGCTGGGAAGAGGTGTTTTCTTGAGTAACCAGGTACGATTTTTATGCCACAGCTAGTTCTCAAATCAAGTAACACGAATCCATGGTTCACCGCCCTGTAATAATCGTCTCCACATTAAAGAGAAAAAGACTCCGTTGCATTTTTACTCACATTTTCTACAGTTTTTAAGATTGTAATATAGATTTGATTATTTCTTCATTGACAATAAAAGTGGAAAGAGTTGTTCCGGCCGGCGTGAGTTATTGCGGGCCCTGCACCAGGCACCGGCTGCCAGGACCCTCCCTGTGCAGCCCCTCGCGCTCCGGCACCGGAGCCCCTTGTGCTCCCGGCGCTCCGGCACCAGGACCCTTCCGCACTCCGGCACCGGGACCTTTCCACGCTCCGGCACCAGGCTCCTTCCCTGCTCCGGCACCAGGACCTTTCCACCCTCCAGCACCGGCGCCTTTCCATGCTCCAGCCCCAGGGCCGCTCCACACGGAGCCGCGAGGCTGGCGTTCCCGGGCACGGAGCTGGCCCGGCTGCTTCCCGGGAAGCGGCGCTCGTCTCCGCTCCCGACGCTGGAGTGTGACGTCCCCGGCGCCGCAGCCAGACCCCGGTGAGAGCCCCGGCAGAGCCGGCACCAAGGGGGGTCCCGCGGGACCCCGGCCCGTGTCACCCGGCAGGCACAGGCACAGCGCGCGCGGTGGCTCCGGGTCACAAACAGCGGTGGCAGCGTGCGGGGTTTTAATTTTTTATTGTTTTTCTTTAAATATTGGTTGCCAGACTTCGTATAGGAGCAAACTTCTCACAGCACCACGAGCCATCTACTATTCAGAATAGGAAGAATAAGACGAGTAGAGGTGAAATCTAAGCACAGAAGAGCAGGGAAAAGCACCAAGATGCATAGCTTGACAGATGGGATACAATACAGAGTCCATAACTTAATCATAAAAAATATATATGTATATATCCATCATGTAGAACTTTATGGATTTTTTTTTTAAGATACATATTTTTTTTTCTTTTGAACAGATATTTTCAGGCGTGTGATTTTTTTTTTGTTATTTTTAAAGTCTTTTTTGTTTTTTTTTTAAGAAATTTCAAAGTTGTGCCAAACACATCTGGATCAGCGAACACAACGGAAGAAAGAGAGAGAGAGAGAGAGCAGTCCGTACGCCTCGAGAAAAGAAAAGTAACAGCAACACTTTGTCTTGGAGCCACAAGCGAAGAACGGCATTCATCAGAACTCAAGCGACTGGACCCGACTCCGACTCCGGTTTGTACAGGAATTTACAGCCGCGCGCGGCGGGACCGGCGCACAGGCGCACACACACGGACACGCGCACACACGCACGCACGGAACAAACGGCAGGGAAAAAACCAGAAATGGGAACTCAAAACCTGGAGACACCCCGAAAGAAATGAAACACCTTCAGTAGAAGAGTTAACGAAAACCTCCATAAAACAAGGCACATCCTTTGTGTTCTTAACTGTGTAAAAATAAAGAAGTTACACTGAGTCTGAACGGAAAAACCCAAACAGAACTGTTTGCACGTACCTTCCAACGAGATAAAGGTATAGAGTTGTGCTACTCTTAGAATGAGTTTGCCACAAGACACACAGCTTAGTATAATAGTTTTTCTCAAGCTAAAATCCAGTTTCTCTTGATTTTTTTAAACTGCTTTATATATAATTGCTAATATTTTTAAATCTTTTAAATATATATTTGTTAAAGTTTATTCTTTTTATTATTTTTGGGGGTGGGGGGAAAGCTGCTTTATATCTTTTCTTTTTCTTCCCCTCCAATAAATTAATACTTCTGTATAGCTTATTCCTGTCCCCTCCAGCCGCGGGGCCACGGCCGTGCCTGCCCCGGGAGCAGGGCTCGCGCTGCCCCTTTCTAACCAAAACTACCCCAAACCACCCGCCCTGTCCCCATAGCAGAGCCACCGAGCGAGCACCGGGAGCGCCGGAGCGGGTCCCGTGCCGCCACGCGGCCTCGCGCCCACCAGCGATCGAAAGAAAAATAGTAGTAATAAAAAAAAGAATTAAAAGAACCCCAAGTCCGTTTGTGCAGCCGGCCGCTCGGTGCTGCGGCGGGCCCGGCCCGGGGCCGAGTTGTGCTACATGGGGCCACCCGTTGCCCGCGCCCAGTCCGGTGGGAGGGGACAGGGCGGCACCGCCGGGACGGCTGCACCCGCGGACCACGTGGCAGGTAGGTAGAGACAAAAAGAAAACCCAGACCTGCCCCCCGTCAAGACCTGGTGAGAGAGGGGGGCGTTTCGGCCCGGACCGTGTTGCTTTGTTTCTGCTGCTGCTTTGTTTTTTGTTCATTTGTGGTTTTTTTTTGCTTCTGCAAAGTGGAGTCCTGCCGGAGGCCTGGCGCGGCGGCGCGCGGCGCCGAGCCCGTGAGCACAATCCTGAGGTATCTTCTTCTTTGTGCAAACCTTGGGGGATGGGAGGTGCGGAGGGGCCGGGCTGTGCGGCGGGACGGCGGGGCCGGGGCCGCGCCGGAGCGCCCTGGTGCCCCCGTGAGCCCTGAGGTTGGCCGGGGCCCGCGCCCCTCCCTCCAGCATGGCGTCCAGCTGGTCGGCCAGGTCGTCGAACATGCTGCCGCTGTCGTCCAGGATGCTCACGGTGCCCTTGGCCTCAGCGCCGGAGCTGCGC